TTAAAGCTTGTGGTCGCAGCCGGGCCCCTTTCACTCTGTCTCCCTAGTGGGTAGCAGCCCATTACTTTAATTTAAAGAAATATAACATATCACTGACATTGCTGACATTTCTTTAAAAAACATTTAATCTGTGTCTATATGTAAACACAGATTTAAAGAAATGTTTCTTTCATTCTCATTCTTTAAGAGGGAGGTGCTGTATAAACCATAGCTTAGAGACAGATAGTTTGCATACACAAGTAATGTACATTAATAAACAAAACAAAAAACATGTATCTTGCTCAGTGTTAATGATATATTTATGTACTTCTGATAACTTTTTTTATTACTCTATGTCCATAAATGTAGCAGTGATATCTGAAATAATCTGAATTGTGCAACATTTGTGCGACATTGCACAATATGATATTTAAGGACGGAGGCAATTGTACAAGCTCTGACCAAAACAAAAGCAGGACAATACCTGCAAGTTGACTATATGTCTCTTTTCAATCATAATTGACTTCTTTCATATTAAAGGGACACTATAGTCACCAGAACAACTACAGCTTATTGAATTTGTTCTGGTGAGTAGAATCATTCACTTCATGCTTTTTGCTGTAAACACTGTCTTTTCAGAGAAAATGCAGTGTTTACATTACAGCCTAGTGATAACTGCACTGGCCACTTCTCAGATGGCTGCTAGAGATCCTTCCTGGGTCATGGCTGCCTAAAATGCATCCACACATTCAGTGTCTCCACCCTCTGCATGCAGACACTGAACTTTCCTCATATTGATTCATTGATTCAATTCATCTCTATGAGGACATGCTGATTGGCCAGGGCTGTGTTTGAATTGTACCCCTGACCTGCCTCCTTGTCAGTCTCAGCCAATCCTATGGGGAAGCATTGTGATTGGATCAGGCCACCACTTCTGATGATTTCAGAGGTCAAAGGAAGTTCACAGGCAGAGGCAGCAGCTTCAGACTTAAATACAAGTACGGTTTTACTATCTTTAGGGAGGCAAAGGGGGCCAAGGGGGCTAGATAGTGGTTTTAACACTATAGGGTCAGGAATATATGTTTGTGTTCCTGACTCTATAGTGCTCCTTTAAGTACATCCACACTTATTGTATATCACATTAAGGGGAAATAGGACTCTCATTTCACATCAAATATTTATATATGTAACACAATTTAATATGAATATATTTCTAAAAAAAAGTGTGAGAAATCAAGAAATATTATTTTCCCAGTTTTGCCTGGCAATTTAACTGTAGATGTTTTAATACTGTTAGCTTTTACTGCAACAAAACACATATCTTTGTATGCTATGATGTCCCATGAGTACAACAATGCCCCCATTCAGATTTCATTGTGTTTTTGAAAGTTACAGGGTCAAAAATGGCTTTCCCATTTCAGTTTTTACACATTAAAATTTGCCATATTGTTTTGCTGTGCCTATGTAATCTTTGAGAGCGTATGGCAGCCCCAGATTGAAAATTACCCCCATCATGGCATACCATTTGTAAAAGTAGACAATCCAGGGTATTAAAAACAGGGTATTTCCAGTCCTTTTTGTAGCAACTTAGCCACAAACCCTGGACAAAGTTTATATTTGTTTTTTGGCTTTTTTCACAAAAGATTGTCCTTTCACCAATGATGTCATTGTCATAATAAGTTTTACTGCTCTAAAACACTCATATTTGTGTTCAGCAATGTCTCACAAGTAGAGAAGTACCCCGCATGTACAGGTTTTATGGAGTTTTGGAAAGTTACAGGGTCAAATGTAGGGCTTGCCCATTTCAGTTTGCCAGATTGGTTTGCTGGGCCTATGTTGCCTTTGAGTCTATTTAGCAGCACAGGTATGAGAATTACCCCCATATTGGCATACCATTTGCAAAATTAGAGACAACTCAGGGTATTCAAATCTGGGTATGTCCTTTTTATGTCTTTTTTTAAGTAGCCACAAGTTGTACTTGTGAGACTTCATTGAACACAAATGAGTGTTTTAAAAAAGTAAAACGTATAATGATGATATCATCAGTAAAAGTGCAGTTTTTGGGTGAAAAATGCAAAAAAAAAATTGATCACCAACCCTGACCAAAGTTGGTGATCAATTTTTTTTTGCATTTTTCACCCAAAAACTGCACTTTTACTGATGATATCATCATTATACAATTTACTTTTTTAAAACACTCATTTGTGTTCAATGAAGTCTCACAAGTACAACAGTACCCCCTATGTACAGGCTTTATGTGATTTTGGAAAGTCACAGGGTCAAATATGGGGCTTGCAAATTGAATTCTCTGGACTCATTATATAATTAATAAAATCACATAATTATTCTAAAATAATACATAAATATGTAAATAATTAAATAAATGTAGAATTTATATATATATTCAGGGCCGGCCTTAGGGGTGTGCTAGCTGTGCGGCCACACATGGCCGGATGACGGTAGTGGAGGGGAGCTAGAGCAGGTACCCGGGTGGAGGATTTTATTATTATCCACCCAGGTCTATAAAAAAAATAGCAAGGTGGCAGGGGCGGAGCTTACTAAGTGGTGGGGCAGAGCTTATCAGGAGGCGGGGCTACAATGGCAGCAGAGGCGGGTTTAAAGCCTTTCAGAAGCCCCTGGTAACTGCTGCACAGGAAGGGGGAAGCAGGAAGGAGTCCGTGCTTCCCCGACAGCTTGACTACAGGAGATGCATTGCCTCTACTACCCCCTTCCAGCCATAATGGAAAGAGCTAATTGTCTGTGTGCCTGTCTGTCAGTCTGGGTGCCTGTCTGTCTGTGTGCCTGCCTGTCTGTCTGCCTACGTGGCTGTCTGACTGTCTGCATGGCTGTCTGACTGTCTGCCTGTGTGTGTGACTGTCTGACTGTGTTTGCGTAACTGTCTGTGTGTGTGTGTGTGTGTGTGTGTGTGTGTGTATATGTATGTGACTGCCTGTGTGTTACTGTCTGCCTTTGTGTGACTGCCTGTGTGGGACTAACTGTGTGTGACTGTAACTGTGTGTGTGACTGCCTGTACCAGTTTGTGCCTGTCACTGAGTGTGTGTAACTGTGTGCGACTGTCTGCCTGTAACTGAGCGTGTGTGACTATCTGCCTGTAACTGCGTGTGTGACCGTGTGCCTGTAACTGAGTGTGTGTCTGTGTGACTGTCTGCCCGTAACTGTGTGTGTGACTATGCCTGAGCTAACAAGACAGTTACATGTAGTCTGCATCCATTGAAGGGGCAGACCAGATTCTCAGCACACTGGAACGCATAAATTCACTCCTCACAGCAAGGAAACAGGGAAAGGGGGAATGAATATTTATTTTTAAATCATTATTAATTTAATAAATCCCCTATACAAACACTACACCTATACACAAATGCACATACATGGATGAAGGTGTATGACCGGGGAGGATGTAGGGTGCTGTGATGATTTTTCGCTCAGGGCGCCTAATGGCCTAAAGCTGGCCTTGTATTTATTTATATATACACACACACATTCTTAAATATATATGTATGTACGTACATTTATTATAGGTACATTATATGTATAATAATATTAAAATACACTTATGGCTTAAATTATATCTATTTATACATTGTGATAAAGTGAAGGCAGATAGGCCTTTTAACCCCAGGGGGAGTATGTGTAGGATGTGTTGTAGGAAACACAAAACACTGTTTAGTTATGGGCCCCTGGGGTGGAGCATTTGGAGAGAAGGGTGGGCCAATGCTCCACTCCACAGTTTAGTGGTTTTCTGGGGAGACATAGATCCAGGCCAGGGTTTTTTGGACCGTCTCCAACCCACTGCTCAGCTGCAGTTAATGAGCTGTTGCAGTGGGAATAAACTCCTCCCGGCTAGGCAGGAAAAGGAGAGGGATTGCTGGCTTCCTCCCAGGAAGCAGGTAGGAGAGAGAGGCTGTTCTCTCCAGATAGTCAAGGTGACTAGGCACTTGGAGTGCAGAAAGGAAGCAGTCAGGGCAAGACTGGCTTGGAGCACTGGGAGTGCAGAAAGGAAAGCAGTCAGGGCAAGGCTGGCTTGGAGCACTGGGAGTGCAGAAAGCAAAGCAGTCAGGGCAAGGCTGGCTTGGAGCACTGGGAGTGCAGAAAGGAAAGCAACAGGTTAGATAGCAGAGCGTTGCTCTCTAATAAGGTTGGTGCAATATTGTGTTTAGTTTAACCCTGAGAGATAGGGAACTAATGTCAGTTAGTGCTCAGACGAGCTAGGTGTTTGTTTATAGGGTTTTCTGTTACTTTTGTTTTTCATTTACTGCCGTATCCTGTGTGGATTTACAAATAAAGTGCCTGAGTATATGCAATTACAAGGACTGTGCATGTTTTTACCCTAGAGGGCCGTGCTACCTGGTGACAAGGATCACAACATTTACAATAATTTTAACTTATGGGTTCTGCCTGACAACCCAGTGATGTTAACTGCCGATATATTCATCTGATCGTGAGGAGATTGCAATCACATATCCTCAGGGCCGGCCCTGCATGTCCTGAATGGTCTGGATTTGCCAGAGGGGGACTGCCTGAGTTGTCAGACAGTCCCCCCACCCCCGATTGGGATCACCACAGAAAGTAAGTATCTTGGCTATTGGCAGGGCATGATCATTAGGGCATACTAGTTCCCTAACGCAGGGTGGTATTGTATGCCCCTACAGCATTAATGAGTTAATATAGAACTGATAACACAACAACAACAAAACACAGAACTAGTTTTGCTATGGTAATTTATAGGTAAAGTTAGTGCTAAAGTTGATACAAAGTGTAAGATATATAATGGGGCAAAGTTTGAGTAAATAATGGGGGAACTTCATAGGTAAAATTTTTGTTCCTACTAATTTACAATCCAATGCAACTGTTTATCATAAAGCTGACACAGTTGACTACTGCCAGAGTATCGGAGGGACTCCGAACTTCCTGACTATGTATAGTGCTTCTCAAACTGCTTCCCATGGATAGCAAGAATCCTCTCTCTGTATTAGCCAGCAGCAGGTCCTGTCTCTTAAAAGCAAATCCCTGCAGTCTCCCGACAGAGGAGTAATGGTAAACCTGGTTGGCAGACAAAATTGATATATCCCCCGGGCACCAGCACCCGCTTGAGCACATACGAATGGGGGACCAACCACCTCGCCGGACCCGCTCACCATCCTACGGTGTCTGTAACCACTGACCATCAGGCAGAACTCGCCATCTCCCAGGCTCACGCTCGGGAAGATGGGAGCAATCGGCGCAGCGAACACCCCACACGGGCTCTGGAAAAGTCCCGACGAGAGGGAACAGAAGAAATCACTGCCACCACGGTAACCGGGAGGCTACCAAAACTCACCCCCCTAACGACACACAAAGAATCAGCAGGGGCACTGGGACTGTGCCCACAATGGGCTCACGCCCCCTGGCCCGAGCGGCACCCACACAACTCCAACGGCCCCACAGAGCGGGCATCGGCTGACTGCAGGCCACCCTGGGGACTAAGACCTACGTACCCCATGTGAGCAAGGGGGAAGGTTTCCTATGCTGCAACACAAACTCCCAATACGCTGACCTTTACCGACCTGCCGTCTTCTGCTTCACACCTCACAGGGACGACGGTCGCCATCACCTGCACGGCAGTTGTGCATAACCCTAGACTGCCAAGGACTCTATCTCGGGTACATAAGCGAAGCTACCAGGGATTCTCATGTTAAATCTATGTTATAATATGCTTTAAGTCGTTTAAACCCTGGTTACTGTATTACAATATTACCTAACAAGCGTTGACTTTGGCAAAAGCTTGAAAGTTAGTCATGGTTAAAATTAAGTTTAATATTTCAGCTAAGATAACTAATAGCAATGAGCAGGCTTTCTGTTTGACCAACTTCACAAGCGTTATATAATAATGAGCACATTTCACATATCTTATCTGTTGATATGAGATAGTTACTAAGCAACTCATAGCCAACTGACAGACCTAGCACCAGCACCTGTATAACTTAACACTGAAAATTGCTTTGCGCCATCTGTTTGTTAACACTGTTTCATGCGCACAGGTAAGCCTCATGCTGCCCTATAAGAATGTGCTACACTATAAAAAGGTGCGATATACCCATAATATAATGCACGACTAGTTGTGGTGAGCGCACACTTAGCCTAGCATGATATACTATAATAATTATAAATCGTGCAAACTCCAAGGAAGCAAAGTGTTACTTCACCCGACGCATGTATGTCTCGTATAAATATTTTATGTCTGACTAGCCTATGACATAGCGTAAAAACCTGCTATCCAGAAAGTTGCAAGCGATGTTGTTTCGTGTTATGTATTGAAATACTTAAGCAACGTACATCTATACTGTTCATAACCTTATTTACTAAAAAAATGTGCTAGATCCACCGTCTACCCCTATGTTTAACCTGTTTACCACGCGCTAGAGGACTGCCTTTGGGGTACCTCACAAGCGACTGTTATAACTGCATGCACAACTAAAATAAAGAATTTATAAAAAAAAAGCAAATCCCCGATGGTTCGTACTTTCTGTCACTTTAACATCATATCCTTTCATCCTAAATCTTTACCAATTAGTCTCATTTTTTAAATTGCATCTGTTCAGTTTCTATAAAGATTTCTTAATGTGAGACTTTTCACTGTCTTGCTGTGCAGATAACGCCAAATACAGTATGGAAAAGGCAACTGTAGTACGGCAACAAAGTGATCGTTTAAAACCAAATTCCTGAACAGCTATATCACTTTTCTATTTTGATGTGGCTGGGGCCTTTGAGGAGGTAATCATTTTATACATTATTGCAGACAGTATGTATATCACAATAGTTGCCTATCTGCTCCCTAGAAATACTTTGATATGTAACCCCCATTATCACTGGAGTTTGTCCTCTTCAAACAGTCAAACTGCCCTCATGGAATGTTGTCCATCATTTTCCAGTAAAGGCTGCTGCTACAATATTGGTAGGAGTTGCCATATATATTAAATCATTTCTTCTAAAACACCTATTCTTTCTTTTACCAGGCTTCATGCATAAAAGTAAGTCATCAATGCTTATTATTGTCTACCATAATTTGTAACAAACCCCAAAACATGATCTCACTTTCCATCATTTCTCATATCTAAACCATACCTTGTTTTGGTGTCTCCTGATGTTCCCATGCCATTTGAATATGCCAACACGTATGCCCGATGTCTGCACACTATACATGTCTCCAAAAAGAAAATAATTATGGCTTACCACAAAATAAGCTTCTAATACATTTTGCTGTTGTATAGATACAAATACATTTTCTATCTTTTCAAAATATACCAATCCTTAAAGGAACATTCCATTAAATGAAATTAACAGTTTTGCAGATATATTTCTAAAGAAAACATGCATGTAATTATTTTTGAATGTTTTATTTGGGATTATATGACATTTTAACTTGCCATAGCTACAGTTACAATCAAAATTATTTAACCCCCATTGAAAAGCAGGTTTATTGTCAAAATCTACAGGCTTTCAGCTGTTTGCAATGAGCAAATCAAACAAAAGCAATTAAAATAGCTCAATACAATGAATGCTTCAAGTGGTTTCCCTAGAATCCCTCACAATCTCACAAATATCCAAAACAAGTGTTGTCTAGGAGTTTGTTGAGTGTCACGTTTGACTGCATGTTTGAAATATGTCAAAAGAATGGTCAATAAAGTTAAGGGAAGAGATCATTGTCCTTCACAAACAAAGAACAGGATACAAATACATAGTGAAGGCACTGAATGTTCCTTGAGACACCACTGAAAACATAGTTTGCAAGTTTAAAGTTGAAGAAACAGTGATTACAGTACCTAGAATGGGGCAGAACAAGAAAGCTATCAATGACTGCAACCATAACCACTTCAATATGTTTAATAAAAAGAATTTGAATTAAAATACAGGTATCAGAGAATTCCATAGTCTTTCTTTCCATATTATATAAAAAATATATATACATTTAGAAGGCTTTAAACTGTTGAGTGAGCATAAGAAAAATAGAATGTCCATCCTTTGGAGGTTTGAACAGAATTTCTTGCTGAGAACTTGCATAACCTTTCGCATTGGTTTTTGTTGCAGTCGTAGTAACTCGAGTTGCCCTCGCATTCAAAATGCAAGATTCGGCCCCGGTAGGTTCAACTTAGCATTGCATTTTTTTGAGTTCAGTAGAGTTCATTCCACTGAGTTTCAAAACCTGAACTAACAGTCAGGGATACATCTATTTCTGGAGATTCAGAACGGTTTCCTTCTCAGATAGAGCTTCTGCTTGTCAAAAGCTTCAGACACGAACTTTGAGCACTTGAAATAAAAACAAAGAAAACTATTTGCTGTGATGGGAGATTAGCAGATCAAAAAGAAAATGGATAATTGTGGAGGATGTTATGCCTTTTCTAGGGGAGGGTAAGGACAAAAACATTTTTTCATCAGCACCCACTCACATTTTTTTGGCCTTTTTATTTTCCCTTTTTCACTGTTTCTCACTGCTGCTTTTCTACATCCCATGGATCAAAATCCATTTTATTTATTAACATTTTTGCATGCAGGCTTCTTTTTCAGCGTTCCCTATTTCAGTATTTGGCATTCTATTTTATTTTATTTTTTTCGGTCGGCAAAGGAGACCTCACTCCATCCTCTCGGGGAATCCGGACCCATACAGTGAAGAGAGATGAATGAATGCTGTAAACAGACCTTTTTCACAATTGTATTGCCTTACATTGGCAACAAGTTGTGACAGGCATCAACATTCCATCTATTGATATACAGCATGTTTTGAGATCTTAGAACAGTATATAGAATACATATATAGAATATGTATAGAGAATACATTGCCAGAGGAAAATTAGCCAGTTATAGAAGGGATATCATAGCGATTTTCATTCGTTTTTTTTTTAATAATAATATAGAACCAACCTCTATCGCAGCTCTGTACAAGTGGGTTATAAAGACAAACCACATAGATTATAAACACACACTGTGAATAGTGATGTACCGAACGGTTCGCCGGCGAACGGTTCCTGGCGAACATAGCATGTTCGCGTTCGCCACGGCGTGCGAACATATGCGCGGTTCGACCCGCCCCCTATTCGTCATCATTGAGTAAACTTTGACCCTGTACCTCACAGTCAGCAGACACATTCCAGCCAATTAGCAGCACAGCCTCCCTAGCAGACCCTCCCACCTACTGGACAGCATCCATTTTAGATTCATTCTCAAGCTGCATGCTTAGTAAGAGGAGGGAAAGTGTAGCTGCTGTTCATAAGATAGGGAAAAGCATAGCTAGGTTAGGGATAAGGGTATGCTTTTTTTGGATTTTTTTTTTCTATCTAATGTAAATGCACTTAGTTGTCTGCCACTGCTGCCAGCTTCTGTGTCAGGCTCACAGTGCCCATTTCCCCAGTCAGTGCCACCAATTACATCTGGTGTCACAATAGCTTGGATTTAAAAACAAAAAACTTTTTTCACTGTTATAGATTGAATAGCAGTCAGTTGTCTGCCACTGCTGCTTCTGTGTCAGGCTCACAGTGCATACTGTGCCCATTTCCCCAGTCAGTGCCACCAATTACATCTGGTGTCACAATAGCTTGGATTTAAAAACAAAAAACTTTTTTCACTGTTATAGATTGAATAGCAGTCAGTTGTCTGCCACTGCTGCCAGCTTCTGTGTCAGGCTCACAGTGCATACTGTGCCCATTTCCCCAGTCAGTGCCACCAATTACATCTGGTGTCACAATAGCTTGGATTTAAAAACAAAAAACTTTTTTTACTGTTATAGATTGAATAGCAGTCAGTGTCCTTAAAGCGGGTGTGTTACGCTAACAGTGGATACGGTGACAAGTGCCACCACTTAGATCTGGTGACACAAAGCTTGTATTTAAAAAAAAACAACCACTTTTTTTCACTGTTATAGATTGAATAGCAGTCAGTGTCCTTAAAGCGGGTGTGTTACGCTAACAGTGGATACGCTGACAAGTGCCACTAATTAGATCCTGTGTCACAATAGTTTGGATTTAAAAAAAAAAAATTTTTTTCACTGTTATAGATTGAATAGCAGTCAGTGTCCTTAAAGCGGGTGTGTTACGCTAACAGTGGATACGCTGACAAGTGCCACTAATTAGATCTGGTGTCACAATAGTTTGGATTTAAAAAAATAATCTTTTTTCACTGTTATAGATTGAATAGCAGTCAGTGTCCTTAAAGCGGGTGTGTTACGCTAACAGTGGATACGCTGACCAGTGCCACTAATTAGATCTGGTGTCACAATAGCTTGGATTTAAAAAAAAAATAATCTTTTTCACTGTTATAGATTGAATAGCAGTCAGTGTCCTTAAAGCGGGTGTGTTACGCTAACAGTGGATACGCTGACAAGTGCTACTAGATCTGGTGTCACAATAGTTTGATTTAAAAACAAAAACTTTTTACTGTATTAGATTGAATAAAGCAGTCAGTATCCTGCTGGTGTTACGCTAACAGTGGATACGCGACAAGTGCCACCAATTACATCTGGTGTCAATAGCTTGGATTTAAAAACAAAAAACTTTTTTTACTGTTATAGATTGAATAGCAGTCAGTGTCCTTAAAGCGGGTGTGTTACGCTAACAGTGGATACGCTGACA